CCCGACCCTAAACCCTAAACCCTAAACCCCTTAACCCCAAACCCTAAAACCCTAAATCCCTAAACCCCTTAACCCCTAAACCCCTAAACCCTAAACCCCTAAAGCCCTAAACCCCTAAAACCCGCAAACCCAAAGAATCTTCCCCGAGGTTCTGAGATGTCGGCGACGCCACCAACCTGCACAGGCTGAAATCATCGTTCAAGCGGATATTTGGGTTTGGGGTTTAGGGTTTAGGGTTTAGGGTTTAGGACCCATAGACCCCATAGTAGTTCCTTTTTGGGGGTTCATATTTGGAATCCTATAAGGTAATCCCCAAAAAGGAACTACTATGGGGCCTATGGGTACAGCTAGGGAACCCAATGGGTCCATGTACCCAAATAGTATAGGTTTAGGGTTTAGGGTTTAGGGTTTAGGGTTTAGGGTTTAGGGTTTAGGGTTTAGGGTTTAGGGTTTAGGGTTTAATAGTATATACTTTGGCCCCCAAAGTACTTAGATAGGGACTACTTTAAGGCCAAACTATCTAGTATTTGGGTACATGGACCCTTAGGGTAAGGTTTACGATGACGTATTGTTTAGAGGTTTCGGGGTTTAGGGTTTTCGGTTCTGGGGTTTTGGGTAGTGGCGTGTCAATGGTAATTCTGTAGCCTGGCCCTCGCGAGAGATAGCCGATAGCCTTCAGTTCCTGCAAGATCCAGAGCTGCTGGACTCTGAACCCCGACTGGGGTTTCAGCTGGACGTGTTTCATGTGTTGGCTTCTGGCTCCGTGCATGTGTCGCCTTAATTTTCGGGCGATAAGCTTGGAGTACGCAACACACAATCCGCCCAACAACTGTGGAAATCCTTGCAATTCGTACTGCCAGTGACTATAGTGCTCCTGTTACTACTACTATATACGACCAGTTATAGAAGACGTACAAACAATTAGAAAAACATGACGTTAAAAGCTGTAAACGCGATGAGTGCTGCAAAGATCATGCAGGAACCCTCGAAATGATGAATGCCTGTACAAAACTGAAAGAGCGAACATTGTATTACTAGGGTCTAAGGTCTAGGGTTTAGGGTTTAGGCAGTCTTATCCGTACATGCCAAAGCAGATCGCTTGACGGCAACCTGCCTTCCCATACATCCCACACAATCATCTAGAACCATTAGTGGTGCCTTGTTCACATACCCCAGAAAGAACGCCCGAACCCTACATCGCTACTTCGACCCCTTATTTAAAACAAAAAACAACCCTAAACTGGCCCTAGACCCTATAAACTCTAAACCCTAACCTAAGTCCCCCAAAGCCAAAACGAAGCATCGGTTCGGCCTCGCGGACCTCCGGGTGCGCCGCAAGGGGAGCGCAATGCGGCGGTGGCAGAGGAGCTGGAGCCTCAAGTGATGGATTCGGGCTTTTGGGGTAAGAGCGTTCAGGGTTTAGGGTTTAGGGTTTAGGGGTTTAGGGTTTAAGGTTTAGGGTTTAGGGTTGTCAAATAGAATCGGGTTTTGCGGTATAGCATTGTATAATAAACCCTAAACCCTAAATCCTAAACCTTCAACCAACAGAGTATACTGACAAGGAGCCCGAATGAAGCAAGGAATCGAGCCGGCTTAAGAGGCTCTTTGTTCTATCAATAGTCTTTAGGGTGTAGGGGTTTTAGGGTTTAGGGGTTTAAGGCTTAGGGGTTCAGGGGTTTAGGGTTCAGGGGTTTAAGGCTTTGGGGTTCAGGGGTTTAGAACCCTAAACCCCAAACCCTAAACCCTAATTAGGGTCTAGGGGCTCACGGGGTTTACGGTTTGGGTTTAGGGCTATTCTTAGATGTCTTGCTGCCGCCGCTGTCCGTGTGCCGAATATTCGTTGGGGCTAGGAGGGCTGTTAGGATAACCCTAAACCCTAAACCCTAAACCCTAAACTGTTAGGATGTAATTACTCATGGGACCAGACAGCTGCCGTTCTTCTTGTGACTTGTATCACGCTTCATGTAACAAGGTAGGGGCCTTAACAATTAGAAAAGGGTTTGGGGGTTGCTTTAAAGGGCTCCTTGAAAGGGCTCTATAAGGGTTTTACTATGAGGGTTTGGGGTATAGGGGCCTTAATAATTAGAATAGGGTTTGGGGGATTATTATATTTATAGTATATTTATATGATATACCCCCCCCCAAACCTAATTAGAATAGGGTTTGGGGGTTCCTTAATATATTTATAGTATAAAGAACCCCAAACCCTATTAGAATGACTTGTATCACGCTTAATGTAGGGGCCTTAATAATTAGAATAGGGCTTGGGGGGATTATTATTATATTTATAGTATATGACATACCCCCCAAACCCTATTCTAGCTAAATTAAGGCCCTTACATTACTGTCTGCTTCTTTGGAGGTTGAGCCTTGAACACCCAGCCCGGAAGCTTTAGACCGTCAGCCCTGCAGCCTACAAACCTTGGGGATTCCCAGCTTTCTGTCCCAATTGGATCAGAGAACCAATATGAGGGTTTAGGGCCAGTGCTTCGGGTTTAGGAAGCCTAAACGATAAACCCTAAACCCTAAGCCC